ATTTATGTTATCTTAAGAACAACATTACCAACACTTACATCTAAGCTAACTAAGTACTTGCAAGCTTTCTCCCCTATCTAATCTCATCCAGTTTAGAGATTTAAACGTCTTCTATTCAAAACAGCAGCAAGGCATACAGTTATATACATTATGTGGAAAATGTTCACCAGTTTCCAGAATTGAAAACAATACACATTAAAAAAAGAAACTAATAAAAGATATGAATAAAATAGCTCCATGACATTTGTCTTTGTAAAGATACTGTAACATTCTCCCCTAACTCCAATTTAAACAAAAACTTCAAGGTCTGTTTCTGCCGATTGTTGATACATCACATAGTCTTCAAATCTTGCTGGCCTGTTGCGATTTCTAACAGGTCTTGATGGTATGTTGGAGTATCAATAGATGACGAGGTGTGAGAATTTTGGGCAGAAGGAGTTATAGAGGAGTCAACAGTTAAATTTGGTACATTCTCATTACTAGGATCAGAAATGGAATGAAGATTATCATGTGTACTATGAAAATCAGACAAATTGACAACAGATGTACTATCTGGAGCAGACATGTTTGTATACAAAGGAGTTGCATTAGATACATGTGATCTAGTAAAAGAAGTATTACTCACCAGGGAGTTGTATCAGATACACTTGTAAAAGAAGAAGTCAAAGATGTAGCAGTATTATTTGTTATCTGAGGAACAGAAGATCTAACTGCTGGCATCTTTTACAAAAGAAAGGTAAAAATATATCTGATATGTCAATATCAGAACCATCCGATTGTATTTTGTCTACTGAAACCCTATTCTTTTGTTTTACATAACTATCTGACTTCTTTGCATTGTGAGATACAGAAGAAGTAGATGGAATAGTAGAAAAAGGAAGAAGCATATTTCTATGTAAAGTTCTTGGTTTGCCATCTCCATTTTCTTTACAGACTTTAAAAACTGGTATATCACTATTGGGTTTGTCAATAACAATGTACGGATCTTTGGCCCACTTATCGGCTAATTTGTTTTTACCTTTGAGGCCAACGTTAAAAACCAAAACACGATCTCCAACATCAATAGTTGCCTCCCTTACTTTTGCATCATAATTACACTTACCTCTCTTTGCTGCCTTATCAGATTCTGTTAAGGCCACTTTATATGCATAATTTAAACGGTCTTTTAAAGAAGAAATATAGTGTTTCCTACTGCTATCTTGAGATTGAGAAGAATGAGAAGGAAGATTAAGAAACGCATCAACAGCAAGACGTGGGTGTCTCCCAAACATCAAAAAGAATGGAGAATAACCTGTACTGGTATGACGGGTAGCATTATATGCATGCACCAACGGAGCAACAAAAGAACGCCAATTTGACTTTTGGTCGTCATCCAAAGTACTCAACATTCCAATAAGAGTTTGGTTGAATCATTAAACTTCTTCATTACCAATGGGGTGATACGGGGTAGTTCTTGACTTCTTTACACCTGCAAGATTACATAGTTCCTTAATGACACGACTTTCAAAAGTTCGACCTTGGTCACTGTGCAGACGTGCAGGAAAACCATAATGGAGAATAAAATTCTCAAATAAAACCTTAGAAGTAGTAGTAGCCATCTGATTGCGAGTAGGAATCGCCTGTGCATACCTAGTAAAATGGTCAGTTATTACTAGTATGTTTTCTAAACCACCTTTCGAACGTTCCAAAGTTAAAAATCAATACACACCAATTCCATAGGTTGAGTAGAAGAAATATTAACTAACTAAGCTCTAGTCTTAACTGGTGTTTTTGGGGGCGCAAGCCCCAAAGGTAATTACGATAAATTCAGCTTACTACCTTTTGAACGCATTTAGGCTATCTAGCTGCGCTGAGCAAAAATAGTTCCAATATTTTGCCATAATATTCAGATCATCATAATACCTAATCTAATTTAAAATTGACTGGTCATTTTATTACTTAATTTTAAATCCTTTTATCACAAAATTACAAATACCATTGCTTTACGCGATTTGAATATTACTACGCTAGCAGTCGATAAAAATTTAATGAGAACATAAATTTGGTGCCAATTTTATCAAGTCATAAATTAACTAACTATCATAGAACACAATAATTCAGGAAGATGGAATACGATTTTCAAATGAGATAACTTTCAAGCTTAAAATGGTTAAAAAGTGTGAATGACAGAGTAAAAATTTGTATGCGTATGAATACGAACTATTTTCCCTCTGACGTCATTTTCCCGAAATCGCCATCTTGGTCAGTTATTCCGAGAAAAGGTTGAGAAGATTTGCTATCAATTAGGAAGTCCCAGCCATTACGTTGATATTTTGGTTGCAATCTATTCCGTATGTATAATCAAGTTTTCTTCACAATCTGGTAAAGCTATTGATATATTTCGCTTGATAGACTGCAAATTTTAGTGCAGTGTCGTACTCGGCCCCGAGTCAGCTCGGCCTTTTTTCAACTCGGTCCACTTTTTAATTTATTAACATATTGGTTTTTTTATCACTTTTTATTGTTGAAACCACATAATTAATATCTGGACTTATTCAGAAACATGGAAAGATATTTTCTTAAATTATTATTACATTTTTGACTACTTTTTGAACACATCTCTATCAGTCTATTACTCAATTTACTGTATTAGCTAACTAAGCTTAACAAAATAAGCCCAAAACTTGTCATGATATACAGGTAAAATGTAATAATTGGTGAAAAATGATAGTTTTCAATTTTGTGATCATGATTTTTGCAAGCGACTTGAGTTACTGCCCCAGCCCTGTAATAAATAAAATCCTATCCTATGAGAGGTCCCAAAATTTAAAGGACTAGTAATAATTATAATTGTTAAATACAATATGACCCCTGCAGGACAGGGCAGACCGTGAGACAGGGCGGACCGTACCAGGGCGGACTGTGACTTGAGACTAGGCGGACCATATTTTGGGACATCAATAATTTAATACTTTTATTACATTAGTCCACATATAAATACTTTTTAAATCATGGTCCGCCTAATCTTGAGTCACAGTCCGCCCTGCCCGTAATTCAATATGACTTAAAATAAGATATACTTATTTCATACATGTAGATCTGATTTTCACAGTTTTGCCTTCATCAGATGTAGGATTTCATGGTCAGTCCATAATTTTGTAGATTTTTTATTTGTAAATTTATAGACATTTATATGAAAAAAGTAGTTGTATTAAAATTCAAAACCACAGGTCGATAATAATAAGATTACTGATTATATTATTAAATATAACAGATTCCAGATAATGTGAATATCGGCATATTTTACGCTTTAAAATCAACTAAAAACGTACAAGGTTAACAATTTGTTGCGTTCATTTACGCACTCTGTAAATTAATTGCGCAAAGATTGTGAATTTGAAGTGTTTTTGGTGTGTACTTTCATTTTTGAAACAGCTGATTGACCGCTTCCATTTAACAGTTGAACTGTGTATCTATTTCCAATTAATACCTGTCAAGATACTTTCAACTATTTTTCTCTGTAAACCAGTCAAATTACGTCTTTATTGCTTACGTGCTTGATAAAATATTTGTTCTATTTTCTTGATAACTGCAAGGATTTATTAATACACACGTTGTGCATGGTTGCTTCAAGGGCTAATCAAATTGACATTTTTTTCAAACAACTCTGTTGCCGGGGAAACTTGATAAACTTACCTCAATACCTTTGTTGATATAAACAATCAATAAATACAACTTGTCTTTAGCAGCGGAATTTTATATACATCATATTAAGTCATCATTACTTTTATTGTTTAATATCTATATGATTATTATAATAGTATTCATGGAAGTATCTGAATTGGTAGAGGAATAGGCAGTGGCTAGCAGTATGAACCAGTATTAGCTGTATGCGAGTCAAATAGGACTAGCATATACTCACTGTTGAGACTAGCTGTACAGCATTTAAAAAAAGAGTTGCCTAAAACAATAATATGCAAACTGACAGGTTTTTTTGTAGGTATGGGGGAGGGATATTGCCATAATTATAAAGAAAATATCAAGCATACATGAATTATCATACTCAACTATAAGATACTAAAGAAAACAATATACAGAAACATAATTGATAAAACATTAGCATATAAATTCACAAAAAAAACAATACATGTACATCTTTCAAAGGTTTAATTTTGAAGATTGGAGAAAAAATATGTTTTGGAAAAGAAAATATCCGAGACAAGACGGTGGCTTACATTACTTAGCAAAAACTGGTCGTATCCTGCGGTGATTTTGGTTATCTTGGTCTGTGAATACAAGCAAAAATTAAAAAGATAGATCGATCTTGGAAGCTTTGCATATTTCAGAAGGCCAAAAATTGTTTCAAACTGGCTGAAATTTTATTCGGACATGACAACTGACTGTATAGAAATTTATCTCGACCCTACTGATTTTTAGTTGGCGAGGTCCGAGGACCGACAGCCTTTCGCACTGACTGCAATTTACAGTTGGTATAGTAATTTGTAGTGTTTGATGATCAAAAGATTTTTTTTCCTTATGAAAATCATGGAGTTGAATAATCTGTGTGAAAGCGCAAAGAGAAAGAGACTGAAAATTAATTTATTATTTCTATGGACATTATTATAAAGATACATTTGTAATCAAACATGTGGGTCAATTTCCAACAGTAGTTGAATTATGACAAAGTATTTTTAATAATTTTATTTCACTTTTAGCTACTTGAAAATTTCATGCTGGATGTTTGCTTACCATTACATTTTGCATAAAGAGCTCGTCCAAGGGCCAATTCACTTCTGATATATCTTTCCGATATCTTGTTATAATATTAAAGGCTGAACGTCATCGTAGAATTATTAGGAAAAAATATATATGTTCATTCTTTGTAAAAATGTTAGAAGATTTTCAAGTTACCTATTTTATCATTGCATTTATTTATTATTGAAAAAATGATGAACGGCTATCCTCAACAGTGTGTATAGGCTAGAACTTTCAGTTTGCATTTAGGGTCATTTATTGTTACAGTCATGACAGCTTTCCCGTTGCTGTCAACAAACTTTAACCTTTTTCATAACTTTTCAGATCTTGGTGTATTGTGTTCATACTTGGCCACAACAACCCTTCAAATAGACCAGACTAAACTTGACCTCCATATAAACATTCAAGGTAAAATATTTAAATTTTCCTGATTTTTGCTATTAGTGGCTATGACTTTGTTATTTTTGAATGGATTGTCTTCAAACTTGTACGCAACAATCTTTCAGGATAGGACCTGATTCACTCATTAATGTCCTTGAAGCTTTTGTGATCAGAAGTCGTGTAGAATAAAACAAATACAGAACAATTTCATTTACATGGTTTTGCAACTTCTGAGACAATGGATTTTAAAGATAGTTGTTTTCTTAAAATTTAAGGACAGTATAGTAGATTGAAAAGACATTTTTTAGTACATACTGTATATACACTATAACTACTATAGTATACTATAAAAATCTTTGTTCTTGGACAATTTTGAACAAATTGTTTCTTAAACAGTGTAAGAAATTAGGATTTGAATCGACTAGCCTGGTCGGACTACCAGATTGGAATATTCACTAGCCCAAAAGACATTTTCTCTGGCACAATTAATTTGTTCAAAACAATTGTTTATATTGCCTCTTAAAATACAGTAGCCTGGTCAGGCCTGTTACTGTGAAAAGTTGGTAGCCCGAGGAGAAATTTAGTAGTCGGGCCCTCGGACTACTGCTAATTTCTAACACTGCTTAAATTATTGATTTGACTATTGATTTCAACTAACATAATTATTGGGATACTATATATGTATATCTAATAATAATTATGTTTTATCTTTCCGACTTTCTGTTTCAGATGGTCGGCCTACATGTCAGATTTGTAAATGTGAACGGCACTATATCGATTTTAAGGATGCTTTAGGGTCAATGAGGATGAAATAAAATGTGAGACTGTCAATCTGACAAACCTTGCAGTGAATAAATGGTAAAATGTTTCTTTCAGTAGCATGGCATTTAAGGAAGCGGTACATGATGATTTAGAAGTGGCTGTATATGATATTTCTTAATTATTATATTCTAATAGCTTTTTTTTCTTGACTTGTTTAAAGGCTGACACAGGATAGTCTATTTTAAGTCAGTGAGCTTCTGTCACTGGATAGACTATTGTCACAAAAATCCAAATTTATAAAAAGGAATTACAGTGAATTAAAATATCATCTTATAGAATAGAAATTAGGAACAAAATTAATAACAAGAACAATTGTGACATGTAACATGTATTTAGGAATTCAGCTTTCCTTTCCTTTTCACCTCAGGATAATTCACATTAAAATAATGACTATTCACAAAAAAGCACTCCAACATATCTGACATATATGATTATCTTATCTTCACTTAGCTGTCTATAGCTTTGAGAATTGTGCTTTAAATTGCCCCCACCCCCCCCCCCCCCTCCCCGAAAAAAAACCAACAAAAATAATGGCATTTTTATTTTGCAATTAACTTTTTCTAAACAAATATTTCAGGAAACAGTGGCGTTTGTATGATAGAACAGTAATAGCAGGAGTGATAAGGACAGATGCATGTAGATGTGTCTTCATGTCGGAAACACTAGAGAAATTGACACATTTGGGTTTTTCAAAACTTAAAGAAATTGGAATACCAGGAGACTGCTTGCCATTTGCAATGTTGGAATGTGTGATGTCGAAAGCCTCATGAATATAGTAACTTGACTTAATCTAATAAGAAAAAGAAAAGACATTGAGGAGAAAACTAGTCACCAGTCTTTCACCAAGAACATGAGATAACTTTCCAATATTTGAAATATCATAATATGTATAGAACTTGAATGAGCGACATAATTTGTATTGATATTGAATGAGCGACCAGTTTTTTACCAGGAAAATAAGATCACTTATCTATTTTTGAAATATGTATGAACAGAACTCTATCAACTTCAAGGTGAGAGTTTATCATGAAGAACATGAGATAACTTATGTATGAACAGAACCACATTTGAATATAGAGGCACCAGTTCATCACCAAGAAGATGAGCTAACTTATCAATGTTTGAAATCTGTTATACCCCGCACAACAAAGTTGTAAGGGGGCTATACTGGAAGCAGCTTGTCTGCCTGTCGGGCATCCGTCGCTTTTTTCTTGTCCGTCCATAAAATTAAGATTCCTTTGACCCACAGTCTTCATATTTGGCATGGAGGTAAGTAATGATTAGTAGATGACCTCCATTAATTTTGAGAACACCAAGTCAAAGGTCAAGGTCACAGGGGTCTTGACTGAAGAAAGCTTTTCTGCCCAATAACTTAAGAATCCTTCGATCCACAGTCTTTCATATTTGGCATGGAGGTTAGTCATGATAAGTAGATGGCCCCTATTTATTTCAGGTCTAAAGGTCATGGTCACAGGGGCCTTGGCTAATTAAAGCTTGTCCGCCCAATTTACCTAAGAATCCTTAGACCCATAGTCTTCATATTTTGCATGGAGGTTAGTCAAGATTAGTAGAATACCCCTATTGATTTTGAGGTTACTGGGGCAAAGGTCAAGGTCACAGGGGCTTTTATTACAATTAGCTTGTCTACTCAAATGGTCTCATATATTCATCATAAAACACCTCCAGGCAAGGCTGCATGAAATGGGTGGGGAGGGGTGTTATTGAAGTCATTCAATGGCAGTTTTAGTTTTGAGGTCAGTAGGTCCAAGGTAAAGTTCACTTTGATCTTTTCCACTAAAACATGTAGAATATATAACTTAGCAATGCACTGGCTTACTTCCCTCAGATTTGGCTGAGCTGTAAATGACTACTGTTGATTCTGACAAATTGGTATGTGGGGGGTATTCACGCCATGACAATGGCAGTTCTAGTTTGTACAGAAAATATCAAGGCGCAAGTTTCTTTTTATTAAGAATAGACTTATTGATTAGATAACTTACAATATTTACAAAACATTTATAATACCACACCCATTTAAAGTATTTCAGCTGAGATTGTATTATCCAAAATACATGTATTGTTATAATGTACTTTATAGTATATTTATTGATATATTTATTGTAAAGTTTTGATTCTACTAGATTTTAAAAACATTTAGTGTTTTGGGTCTATTATAGCATTCGGCACGATATGGCCATTTATGTGTTGACGTGCCGTAAAATCCAAACAAACAAACAAAAACATTTAGATTTTACTAGATCTTGAAAATATTTTGTTCCATGCTCTTTCATTTAATTTTGAATTATGAATCCAATAAATACCTATAATAAGTATAGGATTAAAATTGATAATGTTTTCTATCTTTAACTTATATAAAAAAGTAATGTTTAAACTGCTGGTTAGATTTCAAACAGGACTAAAACAGGGGTGTACAGTGCCCCATTCTTAGTTGTGCACATTGTTGGCATGTTCTCATTGTCGGATACCACGGCCGAACCATTAACATTTCATCATTGATTGCATGTTATGTGACATGTTTATCAATTGTGGGTATCCAACGATGGCAGCCATGTTCTGTTTCTCTGCCAAAATGGCCCAAGAGTTACAAAAAGAAAAATCTATCACATGTGCAACTGCCAAAATTCAAAAGAGTGATCAGAACCATACACAGTTTTGGGAGACATGTTTTTGTGACATATACCTTCAAGTTCATATATGACCTTGACCTTTATTTGATATAAAATATCTTTGGAGTTAGCTGGAATTGTCATTATCCCCCGCCGAAAAATTTCGGTGGAGGATATAGAAATAGTCTCCGTCCGTCCGACCGTCCGTTCGTCCTTCCGTCCGACATTTTTGTCCGGAGCATATCTCTAAAAGTATTTGAGTTATCAACTTGAAACTTCATAGGTGGATAGACCTCATTAAGGAGGAGTGCAGTGCACAAGAATGAAAACTCTACCTTGCATGATTTTTGAGTTATTGCCCTTTGTTATTTTTCAAAATTGATTTTTGTCCAGAGCATAACTCCAAAAGCCTATGAGATATTAATATGAAACTTCATAGGTGCATAGATCTCACTCAGGAGGTGTGCAGTGCACAAGAATGATAACTCTATCTTTCATAATTTTTGAGTTATTGCCCTTTGTTATTTTTCATACCTAATTTTTCACCTGAGTGGAGCATAACTCAAAAAGTGTTTGAGATATAAACATGAAATGTCATAGGTGGATAGATCTTATTGAGGAGGAATGTTGTGAGCAAGAATGATAACTCTTCCTTATACAATTTTTGAGTTATTGCCCTTTTTTTCATGTTATTTTGTCCAGAGCTTATCTCAAAAAGTATTTGAGGTATCAACTTGAAACTTCAAAGGTGGATGGATCTCATTGAGGAGGAGTGCAGTGCTTAAGAATGATAACTCTTCCCTGCATTATTTTTTAGTTATTGCCCTTTGTTATTTTTCAAAATTAATTTTTGTCCAGAGCATAACTCAAAAAGCTTTTGAGATATCAAAATGAAACTTCATAGGTGCATAGATCTCACTCAGGAGGTGTGCACTGCACAAGAATGATAACTCTACCTTTTATAATTTTTGAGTTATTGCCCTTTGTTCTTTTTCATACTTAAATTTTTTTCAATTCAATTTTTTTCTCAAAAAGTATTTGAGGTATCAACTTGAAACTTCATAGGTGGATAGATTTTACTGAGGAGGGATGCAGCACACAAGAATGATAACCTACCCTGCATTATTTTTCAGTAATTGCCCTTTGTTATTTTCAGCCATCAGTATTCACATAGGTTTCAAATCTGTAATCACTATAGCCATCAGTTTTCATTACCAAAAGACCTCTTAAAATGGAATTATTCCGCTCTACTACATATACATTCTTCCAATGAGCAAACACATTCGGCGGGGGATGGCCATGTTGACATGGCTCTTGTTACTTTGTTATTTTTTTACAGATTTGAATCATGCTTGAACAAACAAACACAGAACCAACATGTTGAATTTTTCTGATATAACTTTGACCTTTAAATGACCATTACCTACAAGGTCAAACAATTGAAATTCACTCACATTGTCATAACTTTGTTTTTGTCTATGATTTGATTCATTCTTGGACAAAAGAACAATTATCATTCAACTATGACCTTTACTATTCAAATTTGAAATTTACTTTATACATTTATATTATGTTTTCTAGGAGTACTCTAATAGATATTACAATATTCTCCTACTGATGTGTTTGACTTCCAATGTAAGAAAAAGCCGAGCATGGCCCAAGCTAGTTAGTGGCTCTTGTTTTCAATGCCAACTTAATTATATGTATCCATTCCAATTTACATTCTCACATGTATTATCTATTGTGCTTGAAAGGTTTCTACAAAAAATAAGTTTGTTCTTACAGTCCTGGTTTTATTTTAGAAATATTTTATAGACAGTTAAATTTTCTGTTTATTTTCTATCTGCATAATCATTTCTTGGAATAAATATAGTAAGTACACTGATTTATGTGTTATACATTCACATAAGGAATTACTTTACATGAAAATTGGTTAAACAACTATAGTTTCCCAACAAAATCCAATGTCATAATTTAAAATGTTTATTCATGATATATATGATATCAATTATGCATTTTGCCTGGGTTTGTTAGTATGTTCTTGGTACATGATTTTCAATTTTGACAAGAGTTTGGAAGCGATACTATTATATTGTGTACAAAATGGGCACTTATTCAACATTGAAAGAAGAATGATATCAGATTGGAACACCTAAAGTAGATTGCTATACATATCTCGAATTTAGCACATATTGCGCCCCCATCAGTGCTTTCAGCACTTTGATACTCTTAATGCAACGTGGACAATGCTTGATTCTAGAATCAACATCTGACTCTAAACCAGGCCAATAAAAACGAGAACGGACAAGAGAAAGAGTTCTATCACGACCTTGATGACCAAGATCGTCATGAAGAGATTGAAAAACAAGATCCTTAAACCGCTTTGGTAAGACTAACTGTTGAACAGTACGTCCATCAAGAGTAGAAGTACGGTATAGAATACCATCAGTAAATGAAAGTTTTTTCCATTCACGAAGATACCTGGAAACAGCAGGATTTTCCAATTTAAGGGCGTCCCCTTTAGGAAGATTACCTGACTTAACCAAGGTTATAACTCTACAAAGGGTTGAATCTGCTTCTTGCTCCTTTGACCAATTAATGTCACTGAACTCCGAGGCTTCTAAATGTTCAGGAGAATCATCCTCAAACTCAGAAGTACCTAAAGTTTCAGCAAATGGGACAAAATCTGCTACTGATGCATGACAAATAGCATTCACAACATCAGGAAATTCAATAATTTCATGTGGTCTACGAGAAAGTCCGTCTGCGTCACTATTTGATTTACCAGTCTTATAATGAATAGAGGAATTGAAATTGCCAAGAGCAGCAAGCCAACGATGACCTGTAGAATCAAGAACTGATGTTGTAAAAACATATGTTAACGGATTGTTATCCGTAACTACCTGAGTTTCCATATAGATAGTCATGGAATTTTTCAGAGACAGCCAATTTCAAACAGAGAAAGTCCAATTTATGAGCAGGATAATTCTTTTCACCCCCTCTCAAACCTCTGCTGGCATCTGGTCTTTGCCATGCTGTTTCTGGTATAAAACTGCTCCTAAGCCTTGACCCGAGGCATCAACATTTAAATGAAAAGGCAAGTCATAATCTGCATAGGCCAAAACTGGAGGAGACGAAAGGTTCTCTTTTAAAGTTTCAAATGCGTTTTGTTGCAAGTCTCCCCAAAACCATTTATTCAACAACTGTTTTGGAGTACTTTTCTTACCTTTCTTGTTAGAAATACCAGACAATAAATCATTTAAAGGCTTAGCCAGCTTGGAATAATCTTTGACAAATTTCCTATAATAACCTGTAAAACCAAGGAAAGAACGTAACTCCTTGACATTTTTAGGAACAGGCCAAGTAACCAAAGCCTTTATCTTCTCAGGGTCTGTAGATATACCATCTTGACTAACAATATGACCAAGATAACTTACACTGGTTTTAAAAAGTTCACACTTACTAGGTTTAAGTTTTAACCCATGTTCATTTAACCTAGAGAAAACTGCTTCAAGCCTTCTGATATGTTCATCAAAAGTTTCAGAATAAATAAGAATATCGTCTAAAAATATGAGACATTCTTTCAAATTCAAATCACCCATACACCGCTCCATTAAACGTTGAAATGTTGCCGGTGCATTGGTTAAACCAAATGCCATTCTATTGCATTCATAAAAACCAAGATTTCCAACAGTAAATGCAGTTTTAAATTTGTCTTCTTCTTTCATTTCCACCTGCCAGTAACCACTACGTAAATCTAATTTTGAGAAATACCTAGATCCAATTAACCTATCTAACGTATCATCTACTCTAGGTAACATATAGGCATCTTTTATGGTTCTATTGTTCAACTTTCGGAAGTCAATGCAGAATCTAAGACTTCCATCCTTCTTTCTAACTAGAACAACATTAGAAGAAAACGGACTACTGGAAGGTCTAATTGCATCTGCATCCAACATTTCCTTTAAATGTTGTCTGACTTCCTCTATCATACCAGGAGGAATTCTACGATAGGCATCTTTAAAAGGAGTATCATTGTTTAACTTGATCTCATGTTGAACAATATCTGTTTTACCTAGATCTGTCGGACCTGTAGAAAATATATGTGACCAATTTCCTAGAACTTGCCTTACTCTTAGTAATTGATCCTGATTCAAATTCTCTACACCAATTTTAACACCCATCTCCTCTAATTTTGAAGTTTCAGAAGATGTTTGACACTGTTCAGGGGATTCTGGTTTCCAGGAATCAACTACCTTAACACTGTGTAGAGAACATAAAAGAGATTTGGGTTGAATATATATAACTTTGGCAGAAAGGTTACACACTCTTACTGGTACCCTAACAGTATTACCTGGAGATTTCAATGAAACAACTCTAGGGCAAATAGTAAGACCACCAGACAAACAAGAATCAATGTGTTCTGTAACTGCTGTCTCGGTGTCATCTACTTTCCTTGCAAAACCATGGATAGTTTTAACCTCGTTTGGATGCACTTTAATGGCATGGGTATTGACAGTTCTAACCTGTACACTATTACATAGGCTATCCACGGCTGTTTGCCATTCTTCAGGTAAACTATTTTCAGTACTATAGTTCTTACATAACCTGATCAAATTTGTACCTACAATAATTGGCACATTGCTGTTGTAACTTGTAGTAGGAACAACTAATAAGGGTATACAAAAAGAAACATCAACTAGGAAAGGAACAGAAATATCTGCCTCAATGTAACCTTTGTATGGTAAATGTGCACCTGTGGCACTTTCAACAGATAAACCAAATTCAGTAATGTCATGTAAAACTGGTAAGGGTTGAAGAGATTGATAAAACTCTTCAGAAATTGAAGTGATCATAGAACCTGTGTCTATTAAACCACTTGTTTCTACACCACTAACAGTGACAGAACTTACATTTGAGTCACCAACTAATCTGTTTAATACAAAAGGTGTTGACTTGTCTACTTTTTGCACCTTACATTGTGGGCTCTGCATTGACTTCGTAAAGTCTTGTTCCTCTGTTTGCCCCGCAACAGAAGAACTTGTTAGTTTAAAGGATCAGGCTGTGGTTTAACATCCTTTGAACTATCAGGGGTAATACCTTGGCCATTGGTACTACCTCTGTTACTTCCATTTCTAAAACCTCTACCATAACCTCTACCTTGGCCCCTATACTGACCAGAATTATTGTACCTACCCCTATTCTGATTGTAGTTATAAAACCTACCTCTACTGTAACCACCAGAAAAACTATTGTTTCTGAATTGCTGCTGGTTACTTGCAGATGAAGACTTCATTTTGGTTTCTAATGTCTTCATTCTGTTCATAAGCTCTTGTAACTGTTTTAAAACCAGAGCATTTGAATCATTCTGATTTTCTACTTGACCTACTTGTTGTTGTACCACTTTAGGTTAAGAAGAATTTGACCTAGTTACACTTGCCAATTCTTGTTGCTCCACTTTCCTAATTTCACGCAATAAAGACCTAAAATCCTTAATATTATTGTACAAATGATGGGTAGTTCTTTTCAAGTCCTTATCATACAAACCTATCCATAATTTGTTGCGAAGCATCGAATCTTTCGCAACATTATCAATGTGACCTTTTTGAACTGCCTTAGAAAGAGTTTCTTCCAACCGAACTTCAAAGGAAACAATAGTTTCTGTTGGTTTCTGGCAATCATTATAAAACAACTGCATCAAGTCCTCACCACTTTCTACAGTTCCATAAAAAACATCTAATTTTTTTATAATATCTGAAGGAGTTGCATGTTCTCCTACAGAAACCAACATGGACCTAGCGTGACCTTTCAGAGAGTTTCTGATAGCTTGAAGAATAAGGGACTGTGGAGTATGGCTGTCACTTATTAAACATTTGACTTCAAATTGCCAAACATCAAACTTGACCTCACCCTTAGGTACATCTTCAGAACCACTAAAAATTGGAAGTTTGGGATTGTAGTGAGCACCAAGGATTGTAGAGTTAAAAAGAATCCTTTTTAATGTGCCCTTCATTGTAATTATCATCACTGTAATGATCATCAACAGATAATTCATCTACAGTCTGAAAAGGAAAACTTACACTATGTGGTTTACTAAATAAACTATGCGGTGTCTTATCTGGAGTATGGTCAGCTAAATTAGCAAATAATGAAGCTCTACCTCTTCCTACATTAGGTTTACTACTCAAATGAGGTGTACTATGTGAGAAAGAAGACTTTTGAAAATCAATAAATTTATCATATTCAGCCTTAGAAACAACCCTAAAATCTTGACCTTTATTTATCTCATCTATAACTTGAGATAAACTTTTAGATTGACCACCATCAGCACCCTGAGAAGCCATTATTCAAATAAAAGAAATGAGCTACACAAAATAGAACACTAAAATAATTCAGTTGGCGAAAAACAGTAAATATTCAAACACAAACAACAGTAAATGAAGATTCTAAACAACCAATGGACCAAATAATTGTGTCAAAATAACACACACACTAAACAAGAAATGTGAAATTTGCAAAGATTTCACAATCAACCTTTATTTATAACAACACAATTTAAAAATCACAGTATGTATGTAAAAACAATGTAGCAAACTAGCAATGTACATGTACGTAATTTGAAATACAGTACAATGCTGAAAACACAGTTATCAAATACACTCTAAACAATGTCAACCAACCCCAGCATCTGCATCCAAAATGAGCCAAAAGTGCAGCCAGTACAGTGATTGGGTCAATCCCTACCTACTATCACCCAACCACACCAATGACACACCCCAGAAAACAAACACTAAGAACAGTCAACAATTGCTCTTTGTGCAAAACGCCTTGCCCAGTACTTTGACAAAACTAAGCCTGGATGAATACCGTCCTTGTATAAATTAAAATTAATGGATGACCTGTTGGATTTAGAACTTTTCTTTCTGTAATGAAGAAGATCAGCCTTAAAACGAATTGACGAATAACCACGTCTAGAATTAATTGACTTTAAATAGTCATTGACAAAAACAATACGTTCTTGTAAAACAAACTCTTGAGTCTTATACTGCTCTGAGTTCCTATGAAAACGACTCTTATTCCAAAGGGAAATTGAATATGGAGGTATATCTAACCATATAATTCTCACAGATGGAAATCTGGAAACAAAATTTTCATATTTTTGAATCCAATAAACCATATAACTAAAACACTCAGAGTCAGACCTATGTCGTAAAACAAATAAATTTTGAGCCACTTTCACGACATGTAAGGTCACAAGTACCTAACCAAATATAGAGAGTAACTGAACCATAAAATTCAACTCTACTTTTTAAATTTCTTGTTAACCAGTGATATTGGTCCCCAAGTCTGGCTCCACCACGATAAATGAATTTGAAATTTACACCTTTATACAAATAATTACGAAAATTTGAATGTATATAACTGCCTTTGCTGTCTGATAGAAGTATAGGTTTAGATTTCAATGTACCATTAAATTCAAATGGCCTATTGATGTACTTCTGTAATTTCCCAACAGACATAAATATTCCTGAAATAGAAGTATCAAATTAAAATAAAAATTCAAAAACTATACCTGCAAATCTGAAATACAAGTTTAGTTGTTATTATACAACCTGTTACTGTGAAAATATATATATTTCACAAATCAAGGGAAATAACTGGAAGGAAAATTCAGAATTTTCTTGTAAAGTTTCTTTTAAAATTTGTTAATCACTCTCACCATGCATTACTATATAAAAAGTTATAAGTGCAGTGCAACAGAAAAGAAAAAAAATAACCCCCATATTAATATGGATGAGATATTCTAAATTTTAAACTTGCCCTTATTACTGAAAGCAAATCACTAGGTTGGAGGGTGAACAAAGGGATACGTTTTGGAGGGGGATAAAACTTCAAAAACAAAAAATTTACTCTAAACACAAGGAGAAAAACACAAAAAAAATATTTTAAATACACAAAGCACAATGAATAACTAAATAAGCACTGCAAAACATAAAAGTAACAGTTTTAAAACGCTAAAATTGTTCAAGCAGAGGATTTATCACGAATGTAAATAAAACACAAGCACGAGAAAGTTCCCAGGTTCCTATCCAACGACGAAACGATGACTCAGTTATAGATATTTCAATTTCAATGCACTGAATGTTGGGAATAAGGAATACTCCCAATTAAATGTGTGTACACACTATATGATATATCAAATATTTATATATGAAAAAAAATTTGCCATATGGACTTATTAATACACTAATTTGTATTATCATGAATATATAAACAGCACACTGAAGATTTTAAGATCAGCAGCCAGATTGACACTCTTTATAAAAACACACCGTTGGGCGCCATTTGTGACAGTTGATAGTTTCAGGAGTAAATAAATAATTCTGAGGGTGTCACAGTTGATAATAATATTTTGTCCTACAAATACACAAAAAGCATAAATTAGCAAAATAATAAAAGCAAAATAAAGAGCAAACATTAGCAAGCATAAGCAAACAAAAGCAAATTAATTGTAATTAATTTCAAATGTAGATAAATGTTTACTTATGAAGCTGTATTCTAAAAATTATAAAAACTCAAGTCAGCTGAGAAACAGCTGATTCAGAATGGTATGGAAAATATCTGGATCAAAAAAAATTAAAAAGGACAAAGGACAGGGACAACCTGGGATTTACCTGACTGTAAAGTAAAGATGAGTTCAAACAAAATGTATCAAGGATGGCTTGAGACCATCCTTCTCAAACAATTTCTCTGACCGAAGTGAATATTTTTTTACAAATCCCGCCAAACGTGAAAAAGTGAGATGTTATTTATTTGTTAGCCAATGAAACTTGTTAATTTTGACCTCTCACACAAAGGTTAGTGTTTATTATATTTAGTTGTCATGAAATTTTAATGATTGAAAGGGATGAGGCCACTAAATTCAGGTCAGACTCAGCTATATAAATTCCACACTGTAACATATTTTTTTCAATAAAATATATTGCTTAGTGATTTTTCATTTTTATTTATTTTGATTTGAAGAAAACAATCTACAGGAACTTTTTTGTAATTCAAAGTGTAAAAATTAAAATAATTCTGCACACTAAGATATATTTTATATTAAAATTGGTTGAGTAAGTGTGAAGATATAGCCTGTTAAAACTTTGAAGTCGATTTTCGCAAAATGGTCAAAATAAAACTTACATCATTATGGAATAAAGGCGAGGCATTATGTACGCGGCGTCCGTGGCCGAGTGGTTAAGGTCATTGACTTCAAACCACTTGCCCCTCACCGCTGTGGGTTCGAATCCCGGCAGGGACTTTGGATTATTTCATATGAGAAAGCTATCCAGCTAGCTTATGGAACATCTGTTGTTCTACTCAGGTGCCCATTCGTGCCTGAGAAAATGCACGGAAGGGACCCTGAGGTCTTCCTGCACCAGTAAAGCTGGAACGTCGCCATATGTGTCGGTGTGACGTAAACCAAGTCAAACAAACAAACAAAACAATTGTGTACGCTTTCAGTTTGTTTGTTTGTTTGTTTGTTTGTTTGTTTCATTTTACGCCTTTTCCCAACAGTATTTCAGTTTCCTAACCATCGTTCCTGGAGAGTTACACCACTACTAGACTACCTTCTTTAGTGCTAAACTACCAAAGCATCCCTTGGGGATCGAACCCACGCCAGAGAGGTAAATGGATTAGAAGTCATCGACTCTAACCCCTCAACCACGGAGGCTGTGTACGCTTTCAGAGTGAACATACCAGTAGGTCTATATATTGATATAATTTGGTGATTACTACTAGATCCGCAATATATCCACTGAGCAATTACTCGAGCAAACACTTTCCTTCATCAGTTGCATTATGTTGCTCAGCATAGTTATCACGAAATATATTTCCAGTGTAGAGGAAATGACCGTCTTTTGGTCCGCCATGTTTTGGACAGTCATACTTTGCATAAAACAACCATCTCCTGTTAATCATGTTGCACCTCAAACATTAATTTTTTAAATACCAAATAGAAAAACAGAATCTCAGAATAAAGCCAAACACGACGAAATTGAAAATATTTTTAATCCTATTTCAAGTGATATTGTTAGCACCATAAAAAGTTGTTAATTACTTTGGTATAAATTGAATAGAGGTGTGAAGGTGTGAAAGGCAACAAAAGACTGTTGTGTTTTAAATGAAAGATGATTGGACGTTATGCCAACACCAAAGCTGAAAGAAAATCTTCATTTGCTTGCACCTATTGTGACAGAAATCGTGAATCGGTCATTGTCTTCTGGTGTTTTTCCAGAGACGTGGAAGAGCGCTGTTATCAAGCCCCTTTTGAAAAAGAAAGGCCTTCCCTTAGAATTGAAAAACTATCGGCCTGTATCAAACCTGTCATTCTTGTCGAAAATTCTTGAAAAAGCTGCAATGAACCAAATTTCAAGCCACATTGAGTCCAACAATTTGTTACCATCTTACCAAAGTGCATACCGTAAATTTCACAGTGTTGAGTCTGCTATGATGAAAATGTACAGTGATCTGCTAGAAACAGCTGATAGCCGCCATGTGACAATAGTTGTAATGATTGATTTAAGCGCCGCCTTCGATACTATCGATATACCAATATTACTTGAAATCCTACAGAAAGACTTTGCCATACAGGGTATTCCATTAAAGTGGATCGAATCTTATTTAACCAACAGAGATATGAAAGTTGTCATTGAACAGTCCTCATCGGATACTGAACCACTGAGGTTCGGGGTTCCCCAGGGTTCTTGTGCTGGACCGGTGATATTTACTCTCTATATAGCTGCCCTTAACAAAATAGTCCAGAAATATCCGGCGGAATTGTATGGATATGCAGACGATCATAAAGTGGCATTTAAAATTAGAGCTGGTGACCATCACAGCGAAGAAATCGTTCGCCAAAAACTCACTGACTGTCTTAATGATATTGTGTCATGGATGACCAGATTTAAGTTAAAAATGAACAATAGCAAAACAGAAATCATCATTTATGGTACAAGACATCAGCTGAAGAAATTGAACATTTCCAGTGTCAATGTTGGTGGGGTCGAAGTCAACTGTGTTGACAATGTGAGAGACCTTGGAGTACAGATGACCAGCACTTTAAGTTTTGACATCCATATTCAAAAGAAGTGTCAGATTGCACACATGCAGTTAAGAAATTTGAAAGGAATCAGAAAACATCTCACTCAGAAATCTGCAGAAATCCTTGTTCACGGTTTGATTCATTCACATTTAGACTTTTGCAATGGATTATTCGCTGATATTCCAGCCTATCAACTTGATAAACTACAACGTGTGCAGAATTATGCTGCTAGAATTGTCACTGGAGCTGCTTACT